ATGCTTATTTATTTAGTTGCGAGTGAGAGTAATGCTACCACGAGTTTTTGCTGGTAAGAAAAAATATCTTGCAAATGCCACATCAGGGTTGCTCTTTTCCAGCTGTCAAATGCAATTTCCAACATTCACCAAACCCTTTCTCCAAGTCGAGTATTTGGTTTCCCACTGTCAATTTCATTACGCCCATTACTGGGGCCGCAAGTCAGTGCTGCCACTTGACGGACAATGTATCTGTATTTGTTTATAATGAGGCCTCGGTGGAAATGGATCTCTTTCCTATTCAAGCAAAGCACCGGGGCGCGTGTGCCGAGGAGATGGAGCCATGGAATCAGCTCGTGTGCAGGTGCTAGATGGGCTGCTACATCGCAGGATCGTGAGAGATGGTGGCGGCTTGGGGAAGTCATCATGCAGCAGTTGATTGACCAAGGCAGATGATGATGATGACAGTAGGTGCGAGCCGACTTACAGTTAAAATTAGTCGGTCAAATAATTTATAATTGAAATAAGCATTCAACGAAAGAGACAAATTTCCCCTTTATTATGGGCATCTAAGGTCTGAACCCTTACACCATTATCCAAAACGCTTAACAAAGTAATGTGGGTGGTGGCCACGTGGCTCAGAGGTCAGAGGTCACAGCCCTGAGCTGGTTTTGCTGAGCTCCTGAGTTCGAATGAAAGTTGTAGCCATCTGTGATTAAACAGAGTTCTCCAGTGAATGAGTTAATGGTCTCGGCCCAGGCATCCATGAGCAAATGACATAGAAATTTGGGTTTTACGTTCAATTTGTCGACATTCCAGCAATGAAAAGTCTAAATATCGGGTTGACTATTATGTGATGAACATTGCTGTTATACCGCAGGGCAGGGATACAAAATGCTTCCCTCATAGGTCGCTTGAAAGGATCTCAGAGGTAGCTCTCTGATATCCGCTTCAGTGGACCCTTGCGCCGGTGTGCGAGAGATCCCAATGGATACTACTTGATATGCCGCCGATTGCACAATCGGGATTTCAAAAATTAGGTCACAATGTGTAATAAAATAATACAAATTTAGTGATCGTATTGCAATAGCAAAATAAACAAACGTGTTCAAATTTGTCAGAATACACAACTGGTTTGTGCGCCTCGCGTTTAGAAAAACAGTTCAGGATAATTAATGTCGGCTCCACATTCCGTTTGGCATGGAACATTTGATGAGGGGTTTTTTAAGTTCCGTATCCGAAACGAAACAGATGAAGCACCAGCCAAAACACAGACAATCGGAATTACATTTCATGGCCCTGTCAGGCGGACAATTGATGATTATTATTCAGACGGGCGCTGATAAAGCTCGCCTCTGTCCCTCGCAGGCTGCACGGTTACGGCGCTCGGCTTAAAGCAAACAAAGCTAAAGATTTGCATCCCGAGTAGCTCAATGAGGGCTTCGGATTCATAAAGAAAATTTTTATAGGGGTGGCATCAGATGTCAGCTCAAATTCAAATCATAGTAAACATAACGAGTTGAGTTACTATAATAATAGGGGTATCCCTTTTTTTCTGGCAACAAAACTGAAACCTTGGTACTTGCAAAGGAGGTCTAATGATGAGTTGAGTTACATAAAAGTCGATTAAAATCTCTCTCATCTGTATCTTGTCTACGGCTCAGTTCTCTCATCTCACTACATCTCTATCTATGTATTTTAATGTCACTACATTTGTGTTGTCTCTTGCCTGGCAACGCTTCCATCGTGTCACCAGGATTTTAGAAATTGAAATGGGTGGGGGGGGGGCATACATTTCTGCATTCCCCCAATCGCGAGCACCACCAAAATCATTATCATCGGTCAAGCCATTTATAATTATTATTATAATTATTCACTTCTACGCAGCGGCACAATTCACAAAATGCTTACAAGCCAAACAATTATAAACAAATCAGAATTAAAATATGAGTCTTAAAACATATATTTTTTTCTTACTCCACACAATCGTCAATAACACGGTGGCCTTAATGGAAAAATGTCTCTAATAGGCGATGGTTTGTGGTCAATGGCCCTTCATCGAATGACCGGCTCATTGTACCCAGCACCCAGGACCGTCCTGGCTGTCCAGCCTCTCATTCGTTCAGGCTCTCACCTGTTCGGAATCTAACCTGGTTCAGGCTCTCACCAGGTTAGGCTCTACCTTTGGAACTCGCTGACCCGTCCATAGTGGACATCTGTGAAAAAGATTCATAGCTCATCGGATTCTTCCAGTCTAAATAAAGATTCCCATTCTAAGTTGTCCAGGCTCTCACCTGTCCATGCTCTCACCCGTTCAGGCTATCTATCACCTGTCCATGCTCTCACCCGTTCAGGCTATCTTTCACCTGTTCAGGATCGAACCTGGGTCAGGCTCTCACCTGTCCACACTCTCATCTGTTGAGGTTTGCGTACGATGGACCTTGATTTCTGGCCCCGCACCTCCGAGTTTTCGATCGAACATTGCGTCCGATTCACTCAATGTTTGCGCGTTGTGAATTGTAATGATGCTTATTATTCACAGCATTTCATATAAAAAATATATCAGCTTAGACCACGTGATTTAAACCTTAGACAAATGTCGGGCTTGAGTGCAGATTTACAACGTTAATTGGAGACGTCCCCCCCTCTTTTTCCTGCTCTCTCTTTGCCTCTCCGTCTCATCCGACGAGGTGAAGGGGGACCCGGAGGGTCGGAGCCGCAAATGCAGCGACTCTCGTCGTGTGAAGGACCTTGTGCATTTTTATGTCCGCCGAAACGGATCCTCGACTTGTAAGGATAACAGCGCGGTTGGCTGAGGAGAGAGAGAAACAGCCACGATGCGCTGCTCTGTCCTGTGTTGCGTTACAACTATGCTATAAACTAGACTACTATACATTACAATGTTATACCTTCCAATCTAAACTACATTGTATAATATCGTATACACAGCCCAATGTAAGCTCTAACATTATGCATTATATTGATATGTCTCCAACTAAACTTTTTTCTACATTACACGACTATACACCGTAATATACACTGCCATAGACAAACCCCACTCTACGGTTTTCTCTGCACATTTAGAATCGCCACGCGTTCAGAGTATTTGGCTGCTATAAATGTCCACACGACAAGCCACTTCATTGAGCTGTCAATTGTGCCCAGGTCGCTTCTGAAAAAGAGCTAAATAGCTCAGTGGGCCTTACCTGTTAATATAAAAAATAGTTTAATATAATTAGGGTAAAGTTGACCCAGTAAGAACTAAACTGTATTGTGAGGTTGTGTTGCTGTTAAGGACCAAGCCTAGGGCCAGGAACAAAACGTAGCCACGTTGATCTAAAAGGGGCCAAAGCTTCGCCACTTGTGAGAAGACACGCGCATTGGAATGCGCGATAGGATCCATCCGTCTCTACGCGTTTCGATTGTTCTTCCTTCCTTCTATGCCTCATTATCTGTATGCCTCTGCATTATATATTCCGGGGTAGAAAGTTTATCCAGTCTTGAGTTATACGTTGACAGTATTGAGATTCACTGACAAGACTGTGGATCAGACAGGTGATCGATTGCAGGGTTGATGGGAATTGATGACCTGTTTTCACAAACTCGCTCACGCACACTCGTGGCCCTACACACAGAGACTTGGGGTAGATTGTATTCCAGTTATGTGTTGAATTAGCTGCTAACATTGGATATATTTTTTCCATGGCATGTTTTTTTAAAGACAATTCTTGTTGAAAAAACCTGCAAACCTTTGCTAAGTAGACGTTGAGTTCGCAAGCCCAGGCTTTTTGAAGTTGTGCAAATTCCTCAATAATTCCCACCTCCTGGGCAGCCGGCGGCGTCAGGCCGTTCATCACGTGATGTTGTTAGCAGCATGGAATGTTTGGAAAGGTGCTTGTAAACTACACTTAAAACTAAACTCATTTTATTTGACCATGTAAGGCCCACTGAGCTATAGAGATATTTTTCAGAAGTGGCCTGGCCACAAATGATTGGCCAATGATGCGTCTTATCACGTGGAGATTGATACGATTCTAAATGTGGAAGGAAATACCAGAGGACATGGAGAAAAAACCTCGTGACCACGGGGAGAACATGCAAACTCCAAATGTACAGGCGTCAGGGTCAGGATCGAACCCACGACATGTATACCAGGCGAGGTAGTCAACATCTCGACACTGCACCACCCCATGTAGCTTACATTTGTTTGGCGCTTGTTGCCTAGGTTCGCGCTTCTAATCTGGCAGGCCTCCCTGGTTATAATGGTGGTGGTATTAAACGGGGAAATAATACTGCGCCGCCGTCTGCTGAACAGTGGATGGTAAAGAACCAGTGAGGTCATTCGTCAAAAAGAGTAAAAGCCACTGCGTGCCTGCGTCACGATCCAATTTTGAGAAATGACGCTGCAAATTGCTCAATTGAGGTTACACTCAGCAGCAACGTCACCCAAGACTGCGAAACTACTGCAGGCAGTGTTGTGAATCATAGCGTCTTCATGAGGATAGCCTTTCACATTAAGAATGGCTTTAATACCAAATACAATCAATTACTATTAAATATTTAGCAACCCACAAGGTACAATGTTATTTATGAAATCTTAATTAACTCCATTATTTATTTTCAGAGGCCGCTCTTTTTCTTAACTACTGTATGATGCAGATGGGCAGCAGAAAGTTACACATTTCAATGACACCTAATTTAAAGTTGAAAACATTTGTGGTGGTATCGTGGTATCGTGGCCTCACGGTACATGTAATTTAAATGTAATGTCATTACAAGTGTAATTTGTAATCGATACCTAGCATTACACACCTCACAAGTAATCAGTAACTAAGTAATCGCCGAAATGACACGGCGACTCAAGCGGTCGTATCCACATGACGTCACTGTGATTGTCATTTGTAATTGTGACGTCATTTGTCATTGTGAATTTGTGTTTCTCATTTGAGCCGACGAGGATATTAAATCAGGGGGAAAATGGCCAATTTAAATGGATATTAAGACATAATTATACCAGAGCAAAGAATTTGTTTACATTTATTGATATAAAGTTGAGCATTTCACAAATATGTCAATAGTAGAATATAAAATGGTAAACATCACGTGCATGAGGTTCAATCGCAAGACAAGCAGACAAAGCAAAGCCATCACGGAATGTGCCAGCACTCATCAGTGATGCCAAGACAAATCAGCTGATTGTCACATCAGCGTTACTTTGAAACATGAACAACAAACATTAAAATCCAATACTTGTGTAATATGGTGCAGATTTTAATACATTGTGTGCTGAATTCAACTAAACCAGTGGTTCTTAACCTTTACTGCAGCCTGCATCACTCTCAGAAAGGGCATCTCGCACCCCCGGGGGGTGCGTGCACCTCAGGTTGAGAACCACTGAACTAAACGATCACATTTAAATAAAAAAAAATTATCCCATATATTTCGTGCAGGAAAATAATCAAGGAATTTGAATCAGTAAAAATTCCAGCCCTTTTGTATATTCGATGCTGGATGCAAGCCATTCCCACGCTATGTCGGTCATGGGGGTTGTTTGACCATACTTCACCACGCTAGTCAGTGCAACTTGGTGAAAGGGTTCGGGACTGTTTCGAATATCACTCGCCACTGATGTTGGCGGCCGTCACGTATCGCACTCAGGCCAACGGGTTCGTGGCGCGGTGTGCAGGCCGCGACACCGCCCCTTCACCCCTCGCTCCCCACCCAGGGACGTGATGAATATAACATTCCTGCATTATCACTTTGGTTCTATTACGCTGGAATTGCCGCACAAGTGCAATTAACAAAACAACTCGACACATTCGCCCGTAACACTTTGGACTTAAAAGAAAAAGTGTATAATAGGTGACGTGTTGGCCAATTGCCCCTTCTGGCCAAGTGGCCCTTCTTCAGAGCACTGAGAGGCCAGAGAAGCCTCTCTCCACGCACTCTTATCTCTCTGGCCTCGCTATTTTCTGTGAAGAAGGGCCATTGCCTGCAATGGTGCGTATTATATACTTTTTTATTTTTAAGGCCACAGCGTCATTGACGAACGTGTCGAGTTTTTGTTTTCATTTTAACAACTTCTGCAGATATCTCCTAATCTGGCAGGATTTTCACTTCACAATTTGCGGAATATTTTTTGTTGTATTTACTCGCGTAACTCTGGGTCACAGTTGTAACAAAACAAGTCGACTAGAACACATGTTAGCTGTGGCGAAGGGACAACTTGTCTTGGAGGGAATGTTTCGGGCCTGAATAAAGGTTGATGAACAGGAGACGTAAACACGGGAATATATCAAACAATTATTTTTTTACGAGAAAGCTTTGAGGTGTTGTGCCAGGGCCCCGGGTGCTCGCCGCTAAGCTAAACCAGTGGGTAGCTGGCAGCCGAGGCAATTCCACAGTTGTTTTTTCGGTCACGAGCCATTAGGATGTAACCTTCATCTCCCCAGCTGGTGCTCCAGCTGAGCGAATCACACAAGGGAGGGAGGGCGGTGGGGGTGGGTGGGGAGAGTCACATTCATTATTTGGTAAAGGCCACAAAAGCAACATCGCCCCCTAGTAGTAGACTTGCGGGCCACTGCTGCATTTGCCCTGTGCCACACAGGGACAGCTGCCACGGGGAGTGCCCTCAGCTTGTCTACTGCAACCTCGAGATATACTGCATGGGAGGCATGGTGTCATTCATAATTGATGAAGATGATGTTGCGTTAATGAGCTCCTTGGCGAGATGTAGGAGAAGGCTTGGGTAAACTAATGGCAAGGTGGCAGAAAATGCTTCCTATGATCTTGCCACCCATTAGCATGTAAGTCTCATTTTCAGCTCGTCGGCTCATGCACTTATGAAGATAACGTGGCTGCATTGGGATTGCATAGAATAACAAATGACAAATCATAAGAGGAGTCAGGCAAGGAGATATGAATTCTCAATAACAAGGCTCTATGATTGTCACACGAAAGTCTAACCAATATTACGTTTTTGATTTCTCAGAGCTGGAATTTTAGCAAAATCAGGTACATCATCATCACTCCTCTTTGGTTCTATTGGGTAAAGTCACATAGGTAAAAAATAAAATAACAAAAATCACGACGTTTCGGCCACAACACAAGCGGCCTTCATCAGGTGAAGGGACGAGACTGTCTGGAGGACATCATCATCCCACGTGATTTGAGAAGCCAGTGTAACCACAGGCAGCTGTACCGGTGCCCACCCAGCAACTGAGCAGTGCCAGCCGAGCGCTCTAACTTCTAGGCCACCACCATTACGTGGACCTCACTTATAAGTCCTAGCTTGTTACGGTTGTAGCATCGTACCAATTCCAAATCATCTCTTAAACATACTTCATCTAATTCACGGAAGACTAGAAACTGCACGTAATTTGGCGACCATTGCACACATTTTCTCCACCACATTGTAAGCCTCGCCTGTTCTTGACGATCCAGAACTTTTTCCCATTTTCTCCGCGACCTTTCACCCCGAAGCCCACCACCAGCACCGCGTGGTCCAGCTCGGTGCAGTTACACTCCGGCTCGTAGTAAATGCCTGTGCGACAAACATTTCACCGCACATTGCGCTCCACTCAACGCCGACTTTTTCACCTGCACCCGTTGCCGTGGCGAGGCGCATCAATATTTCAAGGCATCTCAAGGTCGCGCTCACGTGTGCAAGTTGGAACGGTTCTCGGAATGAATGACATCGCGTTCATATGACCATGCAAAATTGAGCATGTTGTTAAAGTTGTTTGTACTCAAAAAAAGAAATGTATTTTTTAAACAGATCAAAAACTTCTACCTCTGCCGGATGCATTGCTGATCCCCGAGCGTGTTTTTTTCCACGGATCTTTATTTATTGTTAATGTCCTGATTTTGTATTCGCGCCATTATTATAGCGCGATGCTGTCACGAAGGTGCTGGTGCTTCACAGCGGTCGTTGCTGTGCGAAATTGTATCATGACGCCGGAACACAATGCCCTACCCCCATTTTCAATAACACGTCAGGATCTTTAAATGTCCACTGTGAAGCAGTCGGCACGTAGTATTTTACGGTTAATACATACCGTGGTCGGAACCAGGGTGACATGCCACACTTTGAGCGGTGGTGGCACATGCCTTTAATCAGCACTGTGGAGGCAGCCGCATGGGTTCGTAGATCGCACACACGTTGTGAAACTGCCTTCCCATGGCCGTTGAGGAGCTGGTACCAAGGAGGATGCAGTAGAGCAAAAATGTGACCTCCACCTGCTTCATCTGCATTGGATAGAGTGTTTCCCCCTCGCATGCATGGGTTTTCTCTGGGTGCTCCAGTTTCAAACCAGCATGTAAAGGCTCATTACTTTGCTGATAACACCTTAATATATAGAGAACCACAGAACTTGGACAATTGTTGGCACCAACTCATCGTGTGGCTGCCTTCCTGCTTGTCTGTGATTCCTCCTGCCTCTGAATTATTCTCTCTCTTCGAGGGCGAGCAAGTACTGTGCTCATTATATGTTGAAATTATTATTCGAACTGAAATTTATGTCCCTTTTCCCAATTCTAGCACAATCATGTTATCAGCATCTTGTCATGACAATAAATATCTGGGCCCACAGAAGCAGATTTTGCAGAACTTCTGAGATCCTATCACGTTCGTATATATTATCCACTCCCGAGGAGACATGCTGTCCCAAATGCCCTGCTGCAGAGAGAAATGTTTCATCCAAATTAAGTCAAAATCCAAATGTAATGTACATTTATTTTTGCATGCAGTCACGGAACTACTTCTGATATCTTTTCAAATTGACAGCTGTTCAAGACAGAAGGGGGCCGCACTTTCCCACCTGCTGCTCCGCCATAAGAGAGTAATGTGTTCGTCACGTGACAGTCTCACCGATATTCACATTTTCAGAGCTGGGATTTATCCAAATTAAGTGCAGAACCAAATTGAACGTGAAAGGTTTTTTTGTGCAGTCATCGGTGACAGGGCTATTCTATTCTATTTCGGATTTATATAGCGCCGTTTCCAGGCCTGAGCGAATCAGCATCGCCACTACACCTGATACCCTGGTTTAACTACGGGCAATGCAAGCCCGGTTTCAAAATGTAAGTTCTCAATGTCGCCGACTCAGCGCTCTGAGTCACCCGGCCACCTCCAATGCCCACGAATCTTGCCAATGTTGATCAGCGGTCACCTGACCGCTAAAGCTTAAAGGACTGGTGATGTGCATCGCTATATCCCAGCACATCCCTACGCTTGAGAATCTAGTCAGATCACGGATGGCTCTAACTTAGCTTCAAATCCACGAACCTGGGCAGTCCCGGCTCAGCGCATCGATGCTTGGACCACCTGGCTGTGTTGATGGGCGGTGGGTTACCTGACTCATAGAGCTGGAAGGATTGGTGGCCTGCGTCGATTGCGACTGACACAGGTCCCACCGAGGCCACGGCCGTGATCAGGTCCTTCTCGCTGCCCTTGTGGATGTCCACGAAGCCGGATATTCGCGCCACCATCCTTGAGGGGTCGTAGTGGCACGAATCGACATCCTGTCCGGAACGAGAGCGGAGCGACTTAAAAAAAAGTGTAACACGTAGGCTTTCGCGACCAGTATTATTCATAATAAAGGGTTTTGGGTTAGATCACGTTATTATAGATGTGTCGCAACCCTCCACCACCCAACATGGCCAATCAGTAAAAAAATGTGTCACGTTAACAAAACGCCAATTAGTCACTTCTTCAGCCCACCGGTGTGTTTGAACTATTCTGGCAAATCGCCCGAAGATGCTGAAAGTAATTACCAGCGAAACGTCGTACTCAAATTCTAATTGTTGTGGATTCACTCTTCAAACACATGCCAAACTGTGACACACGCCCTCCAGCATGGCCTTGTGGGAGACTCGATATCGATGAAGTTATTTTTTCTTCCGATTCTGTTCCAATGACATACACTTATGTACATGTATGTCATCAGAATGGGAAAGGATTAAGAGGGTGTGTTCACGTGTTTTTTTTAGACAGTTGTCCGCCCTTGTTTGTCGTCATCATCATTGTCTTGTCGTGATCATCATCATCGTCGTCGTCATCATTGTCATTTTCATCATCATCGTCGTCCACAACCCAGCTACTGCCGGATGAAGGCCTCCCCAAGCCGTTGCCATCTCCCGCAGTCTTGGGATGTAGCAAATCCATCGAGGCCATTCTGCTGGCAGCGATGCGAGCACGCAATTGCAGGGCCGCATCTCTACCTGCCAGCATGGCTGAACGTGATCGTACCGTGGCCGTGTAGGGGTAGTCGCTCTCCGAGTCGATGCCGCCCTGATCGAGGACGTACTGGAAAGCGTCGTCCATCCAGCCGCCGCCGCAGCCCTCCGTGCCCTCGGGGCGCGAGCAGTCGAGCAGGTTTTGCTCGCTGAGCGGCACCAGCTCACCTGAGCGGCGCTTCCACTGCCCCTCCAGCGCTCCCGTCGAACTGAAGGCCCAGCAGGAGCCGCACTGGCCCTGCGCGGACGCACGCGCGCAACACGCCGATGGAGAACGATCGCTTCCGTTCGGGTAAGCGCTCGGGATTGGCGGCGACCACCGCGCAGGCGTGGGGAGGCCCTCATCCAGCAGTGGATTAACACAACTGCTGTACGTGTTACATTTACGCGGTTGTTGCCGATCAATCTTTATATTATTGTCTGGTGATGCTGCCGTTTCTGCATTTGCAGCAGGGTGCAAGCACAATTAACAACAAAGACAGAAACTTGACGCATTCATCAATAACATTGCGGCCTTACAATACAGGGTGTTTTAAATACATGGACCCGATTTGAAATCACTCTATCTCTGCAACCACGAACCGCCCATGAATGAAACTCTTACCACTTGAAAGGGCGGGGCATAGAGTTTCAAATGATTACCGCTAGATGCCTCTCCCAGCGCACAAACAACCCCTAGCCTCAGTCATTCGCAAGATGGCGACCCCACAACACAAGGCGTTTTGCGTTCTGCAGTTCAGCAAGACTGAATCTGTAATTGCGGTGCAGCGTGCATTTCAACGGCGTTTTGGCATTGATCCACCAATGTCAAAGGGCATGGTGGCACAAAAGACCGTGTTTTTGTGCCACCATTAGCGACGAATCTGGATGACCTCAAAAACAGAATCACGGCAGCGGTGACTTCTGTGGAAGAAGACACTTTGAGAGGCGTTTGGGATGAATTCAACTATCGTCTCGATGTTGTCCGTACAGCAGGTGGAGGGCACATAGAGCATTTATAAAATGGTTGGTAAAACTTGATAACTCATGAAACCGGTTGCAACTTTTTGTGTAATTGTAACATGTTGCCATCGTGAAATATACTGCTTTGTATTTGGGTCTATGTTTTTAAAACACCCTGTAAATGAAAAACAATATAATATAGAAATTAATTATTTAGTGACTGTGCTATGAAGACGGGCCATTGCACGAAGCATCACCTGTTATATTTATTTTCATGTTAAAGCCACAGTGTTACCGACAACGAATGTGTTGGGTTTTGTTTGTTAACAATACACAGATTGGCAGGCACACGCACAGCATGGACCTCGTCCCAAACAACAAGCTGTGCAAACAGCAAACACAGCGGAAAGCTGCACAACAGTTTGTGCTTAGTTTGTTGTCCTCCCCCCACACCTCGGATTCGCACGGTTGGCTTCGTATGGATTGAAAGAATTGAAACATATATATGTATAGCTGCACGATGCAGTTCACGAAAAAAACGCAACACATTCCTCATAGCACATGAATGATGAATGAAGAAAGTGCTTTGTACGAGCACACCCATTGCCAACGCAGCATCACCAAATACTTCGTACTAAACAGTGTTATCTCTCTTTCACTCTGTGTGTGCCACAGTGATATACAGCATCTCATTACAATACCATCTCATGACGCTGCACAGTGGTACCATATACGCATAAACTAGTGCATGTGCAGGACGGATGTCGACCCGCTGCTGGATGGAGGCATCCCTACACCCATGAGGGATATTTGACCATACTTCACCACGTTGGCCAATGCAGCTTCGTGAAAGTGGGGGGGGGGGGGGGGGTGCAGAGCAAAGGACTGTGCTGCACTGCCCACTACTGCCCACAACGCCAACTACTGCACCTGGCTTGTGCGCATGGTGGTCGCCCTTCCAAGCTCTATCCACGCTCAGCCCTGCTCAGCTTAATAGATCTAGCTATATACATTTAAAATCAAGGTGTCAGCCTGCTCAAATGAGCAATGTGGCGGTGGGTGGGGGGCTCGTGACTATCTCTACTGACAACCCTGAGCCAGTAACGGAAATTCCACATTTTCATGACACGGGCCAGTTTGTATGCATGATGGCCACAGTTAACTTCTTGCAAACTCATGTTTATGTTATTGACCGGGCGAGTAATGATGCATCAATTCATCGACTCGTACGCTCGTGAAACGTGCCTCGAATTGTGCGAGCGAGAGTCAATTATTTAAAATTTGTACAAATTCTGTACCAAAAATGTCGATGCTACATTGAGGCTCACGGAGCGAACGAGGCTGTACAAGGAAGACAAAAAAGCAAACGAGATGGGAAAAAGAGACGAAGCTAAAAACCAGAACGGATTCTTAAATCGGATCATAACCGCAAATTGTGATAATTAAAGTAATCACCAGCAGGTAACTTTAGCGTTTATATTGTCCACCATAGCGGCTGACAAGCTGAGTCATTCCACAATCAGAATGACGTTAAACATTTTGTTAGTTAACAAGACATAGTCACAGGCCACTACCATATCTGCTTATACATTGATTATTTTTAACGTGTTTCAGTAGTTTCTGGAACTCGAACTGTAGATTGAGGCCACACGTTTGAGGTATTTTGGGCCTGTTTTGTGCATCTGCTTTAATTTTCCTGGTACCAGTAGACAAATGGTCTGCTTATTCTCAGTAGCTTTGTTATTTCTCTGGCATTCAACTGTGGTACTGTGCGAACAAATGGCTCCTTCTGAAGGATTGGAGCTCCAAATATAATGGTGTTCCTGCTACACAGCAGTACACAAGATCATTAAACTGGCTTTTGAACTTGATAAGCAAGTGTCGGTGGGAGGGGCGTGGGGGGGAACGGCGATGGTGCCATCTGTGAACATTGCTTCTCCACTTCCCAGTGTCAACTGAGAGCGCCTCTCCGCAAAGGCAAAAACGTGCCAGGTCGCACAACAGGGCGATAATTGTCTTCAAGTTCCAAGGTACACGCCGCTGATGGCGCTGTCGCTACGCGCAATCGAAGGGCTTTGTACAGTTTAATTGGATTGCACATGGGCTCAGCTAACACTTGGGATGGAATAAGGGAGTGGGGATCGCGAAGGTCGGTGGCGGGGTGTTAAGAGAGGAGGAAATTGGACCCAGCCAATGATCGACGAAATCTGTTTGACCCAATCAGTGAGCCGGAGTTGGCTGCCGTTTGTAATGAAAGTAAGGAGAGCACAAACCGGTGTCGTTGTGAATCATGCTTGTGCACCGCCTACGGGGGATGTTGCCATGGAGTAATGGTGAGCATCCCACCGGACTTGTAATCAAAGGGTTGCCGGTTCAATCCATTGCTCGGCACGGCAGTTAAACAATGGTACAAGTTTCTTCAATTGACCCCTCCACCGCCTCTCTCCACCCGACAGTTGACCGGCAGGTGGCGTGTGGTGTGGTAAAGTCTGGATACTTCCACCTCTTTCAAAATGTTTGGCTAGCGTGGAAGAGGAGGACAACATATGTATGACAAAGCCTGTGGTTGTTCTTCTGAAAGAGCGGCTGAGCTCAATGAGCCTTACCAGCAGAAAAAAACGAAACAATTTTTATTTCACCAGGTAAAGCTCACTGAGCTATGGAGCTCTATTTTAGAAGTGACCTGGCCACAAATGATAGGTCAACAAAATGGCTTATCACGTGGACATTTATAGCAGCCAAATACTCTAAATGCATTTCGATTTAAAGCTTTCGTGACTGCAAGGATTCATCTTCTTTGGTTCTTTCGGTAAAGTCACGTAGAATGAGAATAAAATAATAAATTGATAAAATAAAATAACACAATAATATTCTCATTCTCATTCTACGTGACTTTACCGAAAGAACCAAAGAAGACTCTAAATGCATGTTGATTCTAAATGTGGAGGGAAAAAACGGGAGGACCCAGAGGAAAATCCACACGACCATGGGGAGAGAGACATGCAGACTCCAAATATACAGGCGTCAGGGTCGGGATATAACCCACAACCTAATGCATACCAGGTGGTGTACTTAACAACTTGCCACAGTAACGCTCCTAATAATATATCATAAAAAATAAAGGCTGAGTCTGAATGCATAGTTCGTGATCAACAAAAGACAGGGTTGCACAAACCTGGTTCTTGATAGGTGTGACCAGTCCTTGGTCCCGCCAGTCCATACTTTGGGGGACTTCGTAATTCTCTGGAGCCAGGAAGGTGGATGTGTGGTGGCCTTCATGGCGTTCTCTTGAGCCTCTCCTGTAGCCGTTCATCGTCTTGCGAAATTCATCCACGGTCTGAACACAGCATTGCAATCATTACACAATATCACAGCACGAGCCTTTTGTCCAAGGCCGGGTGTATTGCAATAAATCTGAAACTTGCAAGCGAACAGCAGACCACGACGTGATATTTATTGTATCCATTCGTGTGCAATTTGTAAGGCCGCGGTGACACAGACCTATTTCATTTTAAGGTTATAATCCCTTGTTCATCACGACGTCCTTTTTACTTTGATGTCTCAATATCGTTACGGAGATCGCGTGACGTGAGGGTTCTGCCTTTGTAGTGAGGGTTGTAAGTTGACGCTGAGGAGGGGGGAGGAGGCGCCTCGCCCCCCCATGTGGAATGAAGTCACCTGCTCATGATTATTAATGAGGCGGGTCCATGTGGAGGACGTAACCTGTTCATGATTATTAATGAGGGGGGCTGGTCGACGTGGAGTGACGTCACGCACATTACACATTCACATTCTTGGGTAACTATAGTCGTAAATTGTGATCATTCGGCAATATCACAGCATTGCAATCATTACACAATATCACAGCATTGTAATCATTACTCAATATCATATTATTGTGATCATTACGCAATAGAACAGCAATATAATCAATACACACTAGCACATTAGAAACACCCTCCAAATGAGAGGTGCTAATTGTTCACTGTAGAATTTTTTCCATATAGAAACCTTTTACTTTGAAAGATTCGAAAAGTGTATTCTGTTGCATCTGAGTGCTTCCTTTAGTATAACTCCTCTGCTGCCAGTTAAGAGTGTTCGGAGCGCGGGCTGTACGATTGATTTGTACTCTTCATTCGAAACCCGCAGAGATCTACAAAGCTATGAAGAAGCGCGATTGTCTAAATCATTTGGTTCTCTTTGTTCACATGGCTCACTGTTGGCATCTCTACAGAGTTGCGTTTGTTTTTCCTTTCCCAGAGCCATGATAAAACTTACAAAAGTAATACCACGTAACGCAATACCTCAGCATGATTGTTAAACCGTGACTTTTTCATTATTTTTCACACTGAGATTCTCAGCACCAAATCTGCACTTTGCAGCTTCGCAAATTCATAACGCAGGCTTTGCGATGTGTTTTCGAGTTGTGCCATGTGCGGTTCGGCATGATGTCCGACGGTTTGCTCCACTTGCTGGCGGCTTCTCCAGGAACCAAATCGAGTAGATCACTTTCTCTCCCGATTACACGTCACTTCCTTTTGGCCGCTGCTCGTGTGGCCAGGCTGCTCACCTTGTCCCCCTCCACAGTTCAGTTCCTGAAGAAGCTCCTGGCACGTGTAGCGCAAACGTTGGACGCCGCGCCGAACAGCACGCGGTCCGACCCAAAAAACGCCCGTCGGTGGAGAGCCACACGCAGGCAACGCAACGGAACGACAAACACCGACGTGGCACGCGATTCCATACCAGGTCCGCAAGGTGGTTCATGCCCAGGGTGTACGAGTGCAGGCCCAACGAATGCTCCAAGTTGTGTCTGTCGACAAATCGCATGTTTTCCTCCCATATGAGCCGCCGTTTGATGCCATCTGTCTGGAAAAGGTCACAAAGACACACGTGTTGTTTATGCCGTGACAAATATATAACGTGGAAAAATAGTAAAAAAGTCACATTTCGTTTTCTGCCAAAAACCAACGGCGTTTCACCTCCTGCTTACAGTCTTCAACCAGTGGTGGAAATTCCATATTCTTATGGAGGGGGCCGGTCTGTTAATCAATATCACTTGGAATGTGCCTGAACTTGTCAGATCTCAGAAGATAAGCAGCGTTGAGTCCTTGAGAGAGACACTGTCTGAGAACACCAGGTGGTCAGCTGAGAATGCATCAATAGATTCTTGAATCCATCTGTGTGGAGCTATGAATGTTGATCTCATTAATCTCTGGGTTCTGCGGTTATCTCCCGCAAGAAATAAAAAACACTTATGTTTGCAATTGGCTGAACATCCCATTGCAGGACCCTCCCTGCATGAGCCTTGAGACACAGCTCAGACTTTCTATCTAACTATAAGGTAAAGGTGGAAAAGGGGCAGCTCTGAAATGTCTTGCTAATGCCACTGCTTAGTGGCAGTGTCTCCACTATATATTGGCCTACTCTTCCACGCTGGCCAGACGTTTTGGCGGAGGAGGGAGTACCACCCACACTTTGCCCCATGACACGTGACCTGCTAACTGTAGTGTACCTATTCATTCTGCTGTTCCTGGGGAAATAATTTGACTTATAATTGCTGTATTATCGTTGATCAATAGCATAACCACTGCTGATTTTAACAAAGTTGTAACTCATTTTATCAATCCTGACTTATGGGCCGAGTGAAACCCCAACCATAATTTGAATTCACAACCTTCTGTTGTGAAGCGAGCACTCCAACTACTGTGCCAAGCAGCTTTTTAGAAAGAAAAACTACTACAGTTTGATTGTTATCCAAACACAGCAGAATTATCTCAAAGTCAGTTCCTGCTCAAATGGGCATTGAGGGAGTGGTCATTTCCTGTTTACAGCCCTCAGCCAGTTGTGGAAATTCCACATTTACATGGCAGAAGAAAGTCTACTCATTGGTGAGATGGCCCAGTCGAAGCACGTTCACCGCTTGTTGCACACGTTTATAGTTTTACTTCTACTAAAATTCTAATTTTAGCAGGTAAGGCCCACTGAGCTATATAGTAGCTTCTCATGCGGACATTTATAGCAGCCAATCCAGTAGGCCACGCTGGTTATGAGTGTGATTGCATTAACCGTAATTATACGCGCCGACTGCTTCCCAGTGGATGTTGAAGATCCCCTGACATTGTTAGAAACGAGTAAGTAGGGCCCATCGTGTGCCGACGTCATGGTTCAAATTAAAAAAAATTATCTGCAAATGACTCACTTGGCAGCATTGCACATAGCAAACTCGCCCCCCGCTACTGGCCGACCAATGCCTGCTTGCAGGCCAGGTGCCGATTCACGTTGTTGTTGCTGCGCCGCACAGGGACAGCTGCCACTGGGGGTGCCCTTTAAAATGTGTTGGGATGAGCTGTAATAAAGCCGCTTATATTGCGTCGAAAGCACTCCCGAGACGCCCCGGCGTAGAAGGAGGGTGGCTCTATCAACGGCAACAATTATTATAAAAGGGAAAACACATGGACACTATACTCTTTGGTTATTTCGGACAGTATCTGCATTATTTGCTGCTACAAAGCAAAGCCTCTGTGCTTTAAGACGGTGTGCGAAAAATAAACAACTGCTTGACAGATGACATTGTCATTCAATTCCCACTGCGTGTAGGTGTAAAGGGAATCGCGGAAAATAAATATATATTTGTGTTTCAGTCATTGTGATTTCCTCCGCAATGTTTAATCTGTCGTGCGGAAAAAATAAAACGGCACCGCATTCTTGACATATCGCCTCGTCGGAGTCGAAGGCGAAGATGCTCCCATTGGCCACTCGGGAGATAAAGAATGTTACTGAAATATTTATCGGGGCGAATACGGTGACTCGTGCAAGCGATGGTTCTCATATATTTGCAGCTTTCATCTTGTAAATTGTGCCACACCACGATTTACTTTCCTTTAAAATTCTTTAGCAAAGAGAGTTGAGCTCCATAAAATCTTTATATGTAGTACTAAATGTAAGTATATTGCTTTAAAACGTTATTGTTGTTCATTTTACAGTCATACATTAATTAGATTTAAATACTGAGGTGAGCAGTGGTGCGATGGTTTACGTGCCATACTATGAACCTGGCGGCCAGAGTTCGATTCCAGGCCACGGTTAACATCAGTGGTGAGTGATATTATATAGTTTTGCGTCCAACTAGGACCCATATCTATCAGAGATGGATTCTTGCCTTTAGACATCTGGCAGGTCACCAGCAAGCAAGCTGATGAGACAATGCATGTCAAAACTGCTCAGGTTTGCCTGTGTCGAACCAATGATACTGAATTTATGCACTCCAAAGATGCTGTGTGGCTGATGAGACGTGTAGGGAAACTTTAATTTATGTCGGACCAAATACCTGGAGGCGTATTGTCTACTTATATATACAGTATTTTTTCACGTCCTCTTGCAAATACGTTGCCAGTTTGTTAACACCGCTGCCTGATTCGCGTTTCAAAAACGCCACACTTACGTCGCTGACAGCATCGTCCGTCCTTTCTCGTATCCGCCGCCTCTCAGCCTTCCCCTCCACCTAACCCTATACATGAAGTACTTTGTGCGTTGCACATATAAAAAATTACTGTAGAGTACAATATATTATTTGTGTACAGTATTTTGGTGATTTTTATAGTGTACTGTATCTTATTGTACCCTGAATAATGTGTTAAAGTTATCTGTTGTAAACTCCTGTTGAGTACAGTATTTTTAGTAATTTAACATAACATTGTGGGTACGTAATCCTTAAGCACCATGCCTCATAAGTGTGTGTTTAAGTGACATGGATCTATTTGTGGCCAAGAGTCAGCGTAACAGTTTTACATACAATTGTTTTGATTTCATTTCGATATTCGTCATCGCCTCTTTCAGGAATGCATCCCCGACGTAAACCGGGTATTACCGTATTCAGTATACAGAGCCACTGATCTTTGTCTCGCTGTCTTTGTCTCTGTGCGTGTTCTCACTTGTGTGTAAGCCTTCTTGAAGTAGACCGTCCATGCCTCCCAGTGCCCATCCAGGGCAGGGTCGGGGCGAGACACAGCCAACGCGCCCACCAGCGCCACAAGGCACGCAAACACAGCGGCCACGCGGCTCCAGACTGTCCTCTGCATGGTCTGCGCGCACGGACGGACGGGGAAAGTGAAGCGTGGCGTAATGCATCCCGTGATCTTCAACATATGGCAGCGTGCACAGTGTGCAGCGCTGGGGTCTGTTGGGGTTGTTCTCTGTGTGTGTTTTTCTTGGTCTCTGTTCGGTCCGTTATGCAACTCTTATTGACTCGGCCGCAGTTGTGAATCACACTTTATGCTTAGTTTGCATTTCTTGGAATCCAATTTTTTTTTAAAGATTACTTTGTTGTACATACGGTGTTCGACCAACACGCTGCTCCAGGTCGAAACACTTCTCTGTATGCTTCTTTCTTGGCACTGCTCCACTTTGTAATATCCTTCCCTCTGTCTTTGTCTCCATGTTCTTACATCCTCGCTCAATTTAAGAATAGAATTAACTCTAGTCTATTACACCTTCAATGGTACTGTTTATTGCTGGCCACTGGGTGTTTTGGGCCTTTTCCCTTGTGGTTGGCAATGTCGATAAAAATATATATACTTGTAGAGCATGGCACAGTGGTGTAGTGGTTATCACACTGCACTGTGAACCAAGTTATCCGAGTTGGAACCCTGGCAATGTCTAACAGCAATGGCGAGTAATGTGTAAACCGGTCCTCCCCGTCACCAAAACACACTGACCAGCGTGGTGACGTATGGTTTACTAACCCCGATTATAAAATTAGCACTCATCACTTTTTTATGCTGATGTTGAAAATAGATCAATTTAGTTTCCTGCCAATGTGTCTATTGATTTTAGAACAGCAAGATTCATCTGTGTGCAGAATTATGCTTGATTGTTTAATAATTTGTATATATTTCTTTATGATAGCAGTTGTTTTTCCAGTGTGAGCTTAACATCGTACATTCCAGGGCCCAACCAAACTGTTATATGATATAATAATAAAATGTACTTGTACGTGGGGAGGAAACCGGAGCACCCAGAGAACATCCACTCGCGTGACAAAGCAACACGCCATCCCCCGTACAGATAGAAACAGATGGCGATTAGTCCACTTGCTGTACCGCCTTCTCCTGGTAAGCCAGGGTATGGCATCTCCTTGACGCCCACGGGAGGGGAGTTTCACACCATCTGTGTATGATCCACCAACCCTCGCTGCTGTCCCTACAGCGCTGGGTTTCAGGCAACAGCCATGTGCAGCAACAGCAGCGTAGCCACCACCACCCAGCTGCTCAATCCAGGAAATACTTCAGTAATGACGTGGATGGTTATAAAAACATTTAGCGTTATGAAGGAATTATTGCTAATTGTCTCAATCATATAATGTATTTTTACACGAATCACAATGATGAGGTAAATCTGAGGAGAATTGTATTTATTTTAGTAAATGCAGTATATATGTTATTTTTAAAGAAAACTTGGTACCACAGACAGGAGTAGAACTTCACTCGAGAGCTAAGTATGCATCTTGAACTTCCTTTCTACTTCTATGTAGCCAACCGTGCTAATCAGACGTGCAACGTAACAATGAGAACCCTGTAGTAAGGTCTGGAGGTTGAGTTATAATGTGCCGGAGAGACCCCTACTCAAGAGTACTTGATTAGATGGGCAAACCTGTGGAGGCCCAATTAAGTTTACAAGGTCAGGAAATCGAGACCAAACATTCATAAACTACCCTTACCTCCGAAAAATGAGGATGGATTGGTGGCCAAGCTGTGGAGGTCTGGTTAACTTTGTAAGGTCTCCATTGTCTCAGAAGAGAGGGCATTAATCCGATAATAAATAAACTAATCATTATAATACACTGGTCTGTTCATACAATGAGTCTATTGGTGGGCTACGTGAGAAGAGAAGCAGAGGAGAAGGGGAGGAGAGGAGAAGGGGAGGGCCGAGGCACGGAGCGGAGCGAACGCCCAGAGGGGCCCTTAGAGCCAGGGGCTGCCCTGGCGTGAACGCTGACCGGGTGGCGTGAACGCTGACCGGGTGGCGTGAACGCTGACCGGGTGGCGTGAACGCTGTCCGGGTGGCGTGAACGCTGACCGGGTGGCGTGAACGCTGACCGGGTGGCGTGAACGCTGACCGGGTGGCGTGAACGCTGACCGGGTGGCGTGAACGCTGACCGGGTGGCGTGAACGCTGACCGGGTGGCGTGAACGCTGACCGGGAGGCGTGAACGCTGACCGGGTGGCGTGAACGCTGACCGGGAGGCGTGAACGCTGACCGGGTGGCGTGAACGCTGACCGGGTGGCGTGAACGCTGACCGGGTGGCGTGAACGCTGACCGGGTGGCGTGAACGCTGACCGGGAGGCGTGAACGCTGACCGGGTGGCGTGAACGCTGACCGGGTGGCGTGAACGCTGACCGGGTGGCGTGAACGCTGCTGTCTGCGCCATTTGAGGCACACCGTGCGCGTGACGGGTGTACATTCACCAGCACAGAAGATTCCTACATGCCTGCCGTGTCACCTTCTCAACGCATGCGTGACAGACCGGTTCATACAGACTGAAAGAATAATAATACTCATTGCCTTTGTTGCGTTGTTTGCCTTCTCATACACATCATATTGTGCTCTGGGCGATGCCTTATGAGCCTAAATTATTAATTAAGCCATTTATAAGGTTTTTTTTAATTTGTATAATAGTATCATGTATTCTTTGCACAGTGTCAGTTTCCTATTTGATGACTGGTGCTCTGATTTTTTTTATAAGAGACTTATTTGTATTCTTGGTTCTTTCGGTAAAGTCACGTTGAAGGGAAACAATAAAATATATATTCTCACGACGTTTCGACTGCAACACAAGCAGTCATCATCAGGTGTGAAAACCAACGGCAAGAACATTTGAAAGTAGTGGCGGTTTGTATTTATTTTTAACGTTAGCACCACGGTTAGCGATTTGACAGTTTGTTTAGATGGACGAGTCCATCTATGTTCGGAAAAGAGGAGGGGGGAGACGAAAAATTAATGTATGCTGTCTGAAAGCCACCGTAAGCGTGAACAATCAATTAAGACCCGAAATGGTTTATCAAATCCTTTCAATGATTGCTAAGCCAGAATCCATCTTCTCGGTTGAAATTGTCTCTGTGTTTGTATATGTGGATAGCCTCATGAACGAATCTCTCATGGTAGCCAGATATTTTATTATTTTATTGTTTCCCTTCAACGTGACTTTACCGAAAGAACCTAGAATATGAATCACTGCAGTCACGAAAGCTTTAAATCAAAATGTAGACTTATTTGTGTTAAAATCTGCGTATGTGCGGTTGAACAGTGTGTCAAATCCATCCGTTACATGCGAAGTATCTAAGAATCTTGAGAATAAGATTGTTTTTTTGTCGTTGTGTATAACGAATCAATCATACCATAGACAAATCAAATATTAAAATGACATACCTGCCAGAACTAGAATAACATTAACAGTTATGGATGATATTTGAGGACTTTAAAAATGGGATGTAATATGTGACAGGGACTATGCATGAATATTAGAAAACTGCATATTTTGAACAACACCAAAGTGCTACCAAGTTATAGAAAGGCTAAGGCAAAGTGAAACCGATGCACACTGTGAAAAAAAAATGGCAAAGCCCTTAATAAATAGCTGAATACATACCGAAATATATAGTTTACGATTCATCAGACATTTTATGGATGAGGCCATGTAATGATCTCGTCATATCCGATTAGCACGGTTGGCTACGTACGATGCGAAAGTAGTTCAACATACATAGAAACATATGCTGTAAGACCCTCCACCACCCAACAAATGAAATTGTCAGATTTGCTAACGTTTAGCGCTGCGACTATAATTGTTTCAGCTCAGCAGTAAGCTTAGGAACAATTCTTACAACCAGTTACTGTAAATAGGCGACGACGTTTCACTTGAAACTGAGTCGAGCATTCTCTGGCAACGTGTCACATGACCTGCCTTCTTAAATCGGTGTCATGACATCACATAAACAACCAATGAGATTTAAACTCGATATTAACTGTTGCAAATTCATTTATCAGAATTGTATTCTTATTTTTCTGCTCCGAAGATTAAAATATGCATTTTCACAATAACCACTCATAATGTCCCACCCTGCGGCAGGATAGATATGTAGTAATAGTTCAAGGTTGATACCTATCACCTATTTGTGAATACTATATGCTTCCAATCCACATTTCATATATTACTATCGGCTTGATTAAAATTATTTTTTATTCTCTATCACAGTAGAGTTCCTAAATGCCCTTTGCCAATCGAGTACATTATATATGGTGGTGATGCTGCTACTGCATTGCCAAGGGTGCACAATGCACAAAGTTTTTCAATAACACTGCGGCGGAATGTATATGTAATAGGCGACGTTTCGGGCAATAGCCCTTCTTCAAATCACGTAGAAGGCCAAAGTGGATAATAAAGTTTGGGACTGCACTTTACACCGCGTATTTTATCTAATGACTCGTGTTTGACTACTTTTTAAATGGACATATGAATAGTTTACCGCTTTAACAGAAGCTGATTTTTACACAACACTTACACATTTGTTAAAGCCAACTTTGCGGCCCGTCCCTCTTATATAAACTCACAAACACAACTTAAATGAATCCAATGTGGAAACCTCTAAAACGTGAACATTGCAGGGGAAAAAATGCATTGGTATAGATGCGGTTTACTCATTGCAAAGAGAACTTAGCAGGTTAACCTTGTGGCCGTATTATTACTATCCAATCTCTATGGCATCTCTAAATGCTATGAATAAGGACCACTGCCCGAAACGTCGCCTGTTACATATTCCTTTGAAGGGCCACGTGTCGAGTATATTTAATTATTATTGCGAATGCTCTGTTGTTCACACAAAGACGTAATCACTTTTCTCGCCAGTGTCATCATCAAAGACGGTCACTGCATCGCGCGCTTTCAGATGCGCTTCAGCGGTCGTCTGGAACGCTCTCCCTTCCGATATTTGGAGTCCACTGGGAGCAATGCACTTTTAAATAATCATCATCATCTAGATTGACGAACTCATTTCTTTAGGACTGCTTTTTTTGTTTAGTTTGTTGTCCGCCCCCCACCCCACCCGAACACCTCCGATTATCACGTTTGGCTACGTACGGTGCGAAAGAAGTTCAACGTACACGACGATAGATCGTGAGAGTTTGAGAAGAGGCACCTCGCCAGACTTACCAGATGTCTCTCTCTCGTTCCGTGTGTCCGCTCCGTGTGGCAGGGAAGCTGATCAGTGCACTCCTGGCGACTCCACTGCTGATCGCTCCCCACTGCCAATTCCCTCTGTGGAGGCGGACGAGCGAAGTGTGGCGGCAGAGGAACTCGAGGGGGGCCACTTCGCTGTAACTCTTCTTGAGAGAGCTCCTCTTGAGAGAGCCCTTTCTTCTTGGCTGTTTTCTCTCAAGGAATGCTGTGGTGGGTGGGGGGGGGTCATGTGATGGTGTCGTCACCTCGCCCCCACCACCGCCCGGCCTACCCTTCACATTTGTTCCCGCGCACAAGTTGGGCCACTCCGCTTCTTGGGCGAGCGAGAGGGAGTCGGGGGATCACATTTCCCAGCACGCACAAGCGAGGCCACTTCCTCTGCACGTCTGGCCTTGTGCTGCTGCTGGCAGTGCGGCACTTGGCAAGGGCTTCCTCCACCACCAGCGACCCTTCAACACGAGGAGGAACAGCAGCCCAACGACGCGAACTCGCTCTGCTGTAGCAGTCATCCCCCTCTCGACGTGGCTACAACAGGCCTCGGACATTGGAGTTTGGCTCCCTGAGATTTGGAATCAGAATCTTGATTTAGACTGCAGGAGGAGAAAGAAGGTGCATTGCCCGAAACGTCACCCGTTATATATCTGAGTGTGGTTTTGACGTACTCCGTTACTCAACCTATCTACGTGAATTTTCCGAAAGACCCAAACAATATGAATTTCTGCAGTTACGAAAGCTTTAGGCCGAGATTTTACTTTCCAGTTTAATTTTGTATAAGGGGGGCTCGCCCCTCACACCGCACAACTCCCTCCCTGTCACTGCATGCGGTTGGATTTCTGTTCGACTTTACCCTCCACAGAAGTCTTAAACTAAACTGTTTTCTTTTACCAGGTAAGGTTCACTCAGCTCTTAGCTCGTTTTCAGAAGCGACCTTGCTACAAATGATAGCTCAAAGAAGTGGCTTATCGCGTGGAAATGTATAACTGCTAAATACTCTGAACGCATTTTGATTCTAAATGTGGAGGGAAAAACCCTAGGACCCAGAGAAAAATCCACGCGACCACGGGGAGAGAGAGAGAGAAAATTAAAAACCCCATATCTACAGGCGCCAGGGTCGATATCGTATCCACGACCTCCTGCATGCAAGGCGAAGTAGTTAATATTTCCTTCAATGTTGGCCAAGGAGCCTTACCCAGGTTTCTGAGATTCTGCAAGAGGTGTATTGCAGCCACAGTGGTGTCATGATGATAGCACAACTGGGCTTGCAATCCAGAGGTCGGTGGTTTGATTCGATCTCCCGGCCTGGCAGCTGAAACAATGGGGCAGCTTTATTAAATCCCCCTCTCCACCCACCTCTGTCCTTCCAGCAATGATAAACATACACAGACCACAGATCAGCAAGTCGTGTGATGGAGTAAAGTGTGGGTACTCCCACCTCTTCCAGGACGTCTGGCCACTATGGAAGAGTAGGCCAAAATACCCTCTATAACTCTGGTGGGGGCCCTTCTGCCAGCAGTGATAATGAGCAAATGAAGTTTATCTTTCGTACAATAAGACATGTAACGATCGGACCAATACCTCGGCCGTGGCTGATAATTGTTTTAACGCTGTGGGCTCACATGAAATAGATTTTTCCAAGACGAAGGTACTATGCAAACCAACACATCAAAGATTTGTTCATGAAGCCATCCAGATATATAAACACAGACACAACTTCAACCGAGAAGATGGGTACAAATTGAGCAATCATTGGAAGGACGTGATTAAACAGGTAAAGTCTTAACCTGCTGTGATGTTTCCATCCTTCCTGCCAATGTTAGTTGACTCTTTGAGTTGCATTACTAGGTTTGATGTCTTTGTATTGACAGGCTGGATGTCCTACTCGTTCTGTCTCTGAAGCAACATTGACATGCTAATCACAATACAATAACCACTTCCACAGCCTCAGGAAGGACCATCTCTAGCCCCGCCCTCTTACCCTGAGGGGACTCCCATCTCAGCCCTACATAAGACCTTGTCTTAGTAGCTTTCTCTCTGTCACCTGAAGACAATTTCCTGTGTTGCGATCGAAAAAATGATCTATTATTTTTCTATCTACGTGACTTTACCGAAAGACCAAAAGAGAATGACATGTAACAGTTGAAATTAATTTAACCCGCACGATCAAACAGCGGGCAAGTAGAGTGTGCAAATAAGCACTCTTGTGCAAAAACATTAATTTCGTTTTTAAATACCTTCCATGTGGAGAGGTGAAGTTCCGTATGAGTAAATTCCAGCAATTTGGTCAAACAGTAGGTGGCGACTTCTCGTGGCCTTCAGTTCTTTACACCTCCCCCCCCACCACGTGCCCAGCCCCGCTGGGCATGTGGTGGACGGTAGGAAATTAAATTTAAGGTTTCTCCAAAAACCACCGAGTGAGTGGCATAATTCATCGTAACCGAATGTCTGAAGGACGAAATTCTCCGTGCTCTTACAGATAATTTGCATGTTGGCTCCTGCGCACAGTAATTAGTTAACTGAATTACGAATTTAGTTTTACCCGAAGCAATATAGATGGGACGACACTAGACTTCACGTTTTTACAACATTCGTAACTTAAATTTTGATTTAAAGCTTTCGTGACTGCAGGGATTCATATTATTATTTTTTTCGGTAAAGTCACGTAGAAGGGAAACAATTAAATAATACAAATATACGACCAACACCTCGGCCATGGCAGATCACTGTTATAATTCAGTAGGCTCACATGACATTGACTTCTCCAAGACAGAGGTTCTTTGCAAGCCATCTGGCTACCATGAGAGATTCGTTCATGAGGCTATCCACATATACAAACACAGAGACAATTTCAACCGAGAAGATGGATTCTGGCTTTGCAATCATTGGAAGCATTTGATAAACCATTTCGGGTCTTAATTGATTGTTCACGCTTACGGTGGCTTTCAGACCGCATCCATTATTTTCGTCTCCCCCCTCCTCTTTTCCGAACATAGACGGACTCGTCCATCTGAACAACTGCCAAATCGCTCTCCGTGGTGCTAACGATAAAAAAACGCCATTTTTTTCAAATTTTCTTGATGTGGGTTTCACACCTGATGATGATTGCTTGTGTTGCAGTCGAAACGTCGTGAGAATTTTATTGTTTTATATTTTTATTATTTTATTGTTTCCCATCTACGTTACTTTACCGAAAGAACCGAGAATATTTGTAACTTAGTCATATGTCGAGGAGCTACACGATACAATTGAGTCAAAGGTTTATTGCTTTTTTTAAGGATTCTCTATAAATGTCGACCAGGCATCTTGAGACCTCAAAGTATTCGTGGATTTTGCTGCACTCCGGTGGCGAGGTGTTAACTACCCCGCCTGGTTTACAGGAGGTGCGGGTTCGATCCCGACCCTGATGCCTGTATATGTATTTAGTTTATTTAGTTTAAATGTTTAGTTTAAATGTTCTCCCTGTGGTCGTGTGGATTTTTCTTTGGGTCCTCTGGTGTTCCCTCCATATATATTTAGAAACATTCGTTAATTTGGCTGCTATAATATTCCACACGATAAGCCACTTCGTTGGGCTAGCATTTGTGGCCAGGTCGCTTCTTAAAAAAAAACATCTATATAGCTCAGTGGGCCTTACGTGGTAAAATAAAAAAAATAGTTCTAGTTTAGTTTTACCACCGCGTAGCCCCAGTCACTATCCAGGCTTCAACCTGCTTAGCTTCTAGAGATCGTGCACCATCCGGGTGAGTTGGTAATACGCGACAATTGGTATACGAGCATGCCCTTCCAACACAAGCACGCAAGGGATTCACTGGGGCAAGACAGAGCAGGTTACAAACGGCACGCGAGCACCGCTGCTTCGGGCTGAAAAACACGTTTTGGGACGCTGGCAGCAGCGACCTGGACTAAGGACGGCTGGCATCTTTAATCGCTGAGCATCGTCGATTTTACATCACATGTGTCTGACGAAATCATGATCTTGTCTGAAAGACGCACGCAGAAACGAGGCGTGTGTGATGTTGTTTCGCTGTTCTGGCAGCAGAATTCGTTGAGCGTTAAGCTGCGGGCTTGGAGTAAATCCTGTTTGCGTGTGAGCTTGACATCTTAGTAGGGAAAAGACGTGAACAATATTAAAAAAACAAAAATTTCCCCCAACTTTATCTTGACTGTGCTATCGGCATCATGATGTTAAAGAAGGCGTCCATTCGGATCTCTGACAGCGCAATGTAATGCTTCGTGTTCGAGAGTGGTTGACAGAAGCGGATATGAAAGAGCTACCTCTGAATCCCTTCGAGTGGCCTCTCGTCCACACAGTAGGGCTGGAACTTTCTCACCCACTCTCTGATATTCCTTGCATGATCAGTCAAACTGATATTTTGAATTCTCAGAGCTGAAATGTATCCAAAATTAATACGGAACTGAATGCGATATGATGGGGTTTTATGTGCTCAGTTATTGCTAACCGAGCATCAACTTGCTACACCTGAGAACCTGGCGGCTTTCTGGATTCAAACCTAGGTTTCTCAACAGTGCCATAGTCGACACATTCCAGGTGATTTGGTCAAAGCCATGTTGTATTGTTTCCTTCGTTTCCGACCTTCCTTGATCAGGGGGTTTGCTGCGCAATCCACTATCCATCGCCACAGTTCTTGAGAGCTGCCCCACACTGAGCCCTGTCTTTACGTAGGCATGCACATGTATGTTGAACTTTTTTCGCACCGTACGTAATCAACCGTGCTAATCGGAGGTGCGGGCAAGGACAACAAACTAAACAGAAAAAGCATTTCTAAAGAAATGAGTTTCCAATCTAGATGATGTAAAAGTGCTTAGCTCCAGCGGCTTCCTAATATCGGAAGGGAGAGCGCTCCAGACGGTCGCAGAAGCGCATCTAAAAGCGCCGCGCGATGCGGTGACAAATTTTATCCAAGCAACAGCAGCATCCATCAATCCAAAGTCTCCTGGGCCGGCCTCAGCTTCGCTTTCTTTGGACAGAGCTTTCAATTGCCATCTTCTGCAGGCACTCTCCGGGTTTCAACATCATAATTTGTCATGTGGAATTAGATTCACGTTTTAGCTATGTTGATTATGTAGTAGAAGCTATACTTAAGCACGCCCTTGGGAGCAAGGCCAGCTGTGGCAATATCTGAAGTATGCTTATATCCTTGGTTCATTCGGTAAAGTCACGTAGAAGGGAAACAATAAAATAAATAATATGAAACAATATTATTTTATTCTTTCCCTTCT